CAATAATCCAAATAATCCAGTCTTCATTGTCATGTGAACCTTCAGAAATCATTCTAATATGTTCATTTGGAACATTTTTTACATTTTTTTTTTTTTTTTTTTTTTTTTTTTTTTTTTTTTTTTTTTTTTTTTTTTGAGATTTATATAGAAAAAAAGACAACCATACGGTTTGGAATGACAAGAGAGTGAATAAATAATGACAGCGTTTTCATTTTTGGATGAACTATCCCCTTTAGGCTGAGTATACATCTTGTGCCTTGTTTGCTTCTCTCAACAATTTTATCGTAGTAAACACTTATCACGCTGTGATTTCACCACTTCTCCCGTTGATTTATTTTGAAGCTTGCGTGCAGAACTCTCCCTTGTGGGCTTCCGCTCATCTTCTTTATCTTCTCTTTCTCTGATCTGAACGGAAAATGCTTGTCTCGTAGGTAAAGAGGCCGCATCCTTATTGCAAAGCCTGAACAAGCTCGGCTCACCAGAAGAGAAAGTAGAAATGGTGTTGAAGAAATACACTGAGTTGGTGAGTATCCAGACCCATGAGAGAACGTCGCTCTCTGAACAGTTTTCACAGCCGACAACAACAATGCATGGAGGACAGTTAAGAGGAAACAAATAGAACGCAAACTTGATTGACACGGAGAGAAAATAAAAGAACGCCTGGTGTGATGTTAAGAGTGGTTTCACTGATACTGCGATGACCTAAATATTCAATGCTCTGGGCTGAATATTCGAGTCTGAACACAAGGCCATATGCCACACAAGAAAGCCACAACACTCTCTTCAATTTGAGAACACAGAGATAATGACAGGGACACGTAGAAAAGAACATATGACGGAAGACTACGAGTAATTCTCCCAGTTTTGACAAAACCAGATCTTGTTCTCAGAAGTAAACGAAGGGCCCGTCATTCCAAAATCCTCTTGAGGACAACCAGACAGACATTATCTAAAGCAGCTTTAGACCAGCCAGAGGTGTTAAAGCCGTGTATAAGAGGATGTATGGATCACACCTGTGTGTGTTTTGTGCATATGGGGCAGGTGGAGGAACACAGGACTGAGAAGAAACAGCTGGAGCAGCTTCAGCAGAGACAGGGTCTTCTGGGCAAGCAGAGAGATCAGCTTCAGTTCGAGCACAGTCGTGCCATTCTGGCCCGCAGCAAGCTGGAGTTGCTCTGCAGGGAGCTTCAGAGACATAACAGGACACTGAAGGTGAGAACATGATCTGCTGACAGTTTTAAGAGAATTGAGTTGTGAAAGAAAAGTCAAGCTATGGTATATCTTGGTAGGTTTATTTTTGTGTATGTTTTTATATATTTATGAAAAGAAACATACATTATTTTGTCTGAATTCATTCTGTTTTTAAAATAATTATGCCTATTTTCTTAAGCCATTCAAATGTTTGGGGTCAGTTAAGGGGCCAGCTGTTCTTTTTAAATTTCTATTCATCAAAAACTCTTGAAAAAAAAAGTATCATGGCTTCCACAAAAATATAATAATTTTTAACATTGAAAATAATAATAAATGTTTTATGAGCACCAAATAAGCATATTTCAGTGACACTTAAAACTGGAGTAAATGACATTTATAAAAATGACATATTAAAATTGGAATCATATTTCACAATTGTATTATTTTTACTGTATCTGTAATCAAATTAATGTAGCCTTTGAAAGCATACGAGACCTCTTTCAAAAACATTAAAAAACATTACTGACCCCAATCTTTTGAACAGTAGTCTGATAACGCAAATAAAAATGCTAAACTGCAAAAAAAATTCTCATAAAAAATTCACAGCTGCATAATTAAATATACTCTTTAAACCTTTAGGGTTTTTTTAAGAAAATTATTTTATATATTTTACTATGTTTTTTTTTTTTTAATAGGCACTGTTGGGTAAATTAGTTGACCACAAAAGCAAACTGTTGCATTTTTACAAAAATAATAATAATACTCTTTATTCAGTTGCTTTATAATAATACTCTTAATTCAATTGTCTCATATTTGCATAAGATTATACTGTATTTATGGGGGATGTTGCTATTTTTCTATCACTAAACAAACAAAAAAAAGAGTATTATAGGTCAAATGCTTATTTGAAATATTGCTAAATATGAGACAAGAACCACTTAGAAAGAAGAACTTGTAAAAACGATCAATGTTTTGTTTTTATGTGCCATTTAGGGGTACATTTATCTGAAATCGATACAGTAAGACCACAATAACAGACCGTAACTTGTTTGACATGTGGGAGAGTGTTGAGCATCTGACTTGTTTTCCTGTTATCCTGTTACCTGTGTCAGTGTTTTGATTGCTGAGATTGAGTCGACTCAACTTCCTTCTGAGGAGACAGTGTCTTAGAGCCCAGTGGGACGTTACTGCAGTGACTCTGTGTCTCTGCCGCGATGATACACTGACTTCTCAGACTCAAAGTGCTGCTGACAGGTCACTATGACAAGAGGGATAGCGTTACTGAGCTTCAGTGGCATTTGCCCTTCTTTTATAAATCAAACGTCAAAGAGAATGTCTCACTGGCTCAAATCACTGCAGAGGCCATGGCCTCCTGTTCTTCCGTTCTGTTGGTGCTACAGTGACTACATCTACATCTCAGAGAGAATCTGCTGAGTTTTTTATATTTTCTGTGCTAATTTTGAGGTGAAATCTGCTGAATTCTGCATAATGGATTTAATAGCGCAACTCCTTAAAAAGATTTAATATTGTTTGAGTGTGAACCGAAGAACGAGTGATAGTTTTAACAGATCTTGGGTCAGTTTTATAATGTAGGTTCATTTTTAATAAATGTAATGTATTTTAATATGCGTGAGTAATACAAAAGGGTCAACAATATTTAATTGCTACCTAGTTTGCCAAGCCCCGCCCAATAACACATATGCATTACACATTCATAAATAAAATAACACAAATTTGACGGAACGTCGTATTTAATAGTGTTTAATTATTTGGTTATATTTAATAGATACTCTTTGTGAAAACATTTACAAGTGATTTGTAAAAGGTGTCGTTATACATATTAAAGGGTTAGTTCAGTCAAAAATGAAAATTAGGCTGCGTTTCACTCACCCTCAAGTCATCCTAGGTGTATATGACTTTCTTCTTTCAGACGAATCCAGTCGGAGTTATATTAAAAATTGTCTTTGATCTTTCAAGCTCTATCGTTGTACTCAGCGGGTGTTGCATTCCTTCGGTTCAAAAGACGTGATATAAAAAAAACGATAGAGCTTGAAAGATCAAAGACAATTTTTAATATAACTCCGACTGGATTCGTCTGAAAGAAGAAAGTCATATACACCAAGGATGACTTGAGGGTGAGTAATTTATGGGCTAATTTTCATTTTTGGGTGAACTAACCCTTTAAGGATGAGTTTTCATTGCAAATACACCATTTTGACCAGCAGGTGCCACCATCCTGTGGTGTTTTGAGAGCATCGAAACAGTGAATCATTTTGCAAAGGCAAATTATTCAGGGTTTCAAAAAGCTTTGTTTCTCCCATCACTACCTTCACCATTCACGTTCACGCTATGTGTTTGATTCAATAAAAAGAACAGACTCATAAGAGTCATTAACAAGGGAATCAGTATTTTTTTGATTCTTTAAAAGATCCGGTTCATAAGAGCTTGGGAATCAGACTTCACTGGTCGCGCTGTATGTTTTTGATTCATGTAAACGGTTCTGAATATTAAAAACTGCAACCTAATTTGTGAATGCCTCTCTCAAATGAGATGCCATATTTGTCATTTTACAAAACTGTTATTCAGCACTTGAAATGTTTCCAGTTGTCGGATATAACAGTCCACTCATTTCTTTCACTCTGCCAAACAATTACGTTGCCTTCCAAGGAACAATTTCACCTCCATTTGGTGAATGTGTATATAATATGAAAGATGTTATGAATCTTGTGCAAAGCACCTGGAGCCATTTTCTCTTTGCAGTTCAGCAACTGATTTCAGTCCATTTGTACTATTCAACGAAAAGGTGCTGGAGGACTTTGTATAAGAAAAGGTAGTGGTTTCTGTCCCAGCATCCACACACACACACACACTTTTTTTCTGTTTTTGTGGTCTGTAAGGTGATTCAGAGGAGCTTTCGAATCATGTTTGTGTTGTTTTTTCTCCTCCGGGCATTGAAGATATTAAACTCTTGCTCTAATATGAACTCTGCATTACTTTGGAAGTTGATGCTATCCTTCCCTAGAGGCTGGCTTTGACCTTGTTCACTCCCCAGTCAATTTTATTCAAGTATTATGGAAGCCATTAATGAGCGGGTCAGAGCAGAACATCTAAGCCCTGTGTGTAGGTGCGACTCTCAGCTATGAGGACCGTAAATTAGATTTAATCTGGGGTCATTTCCTTTGCGCTTATGTGAGTGATTCACCTCCCTGATGAGCTTGCGTAGTGGTAATACAGCTTCACCTTTCCCAGGTGGGAGCTTGAGACTCATGCCATGTGTAAACACAGGCAGGCAAACGGATTCAGCCCTGGAGAGGAACACTCCATGTGATTCCTTACGAATGGCTGAGTCAGGAAGCTGGCGCTTCTGAAACAAGAGCTCATGTTTACAAAGCGCACACATTGGATGGCAGGCCTGTTTAACATTCACACGTCCAATCCCAGATACTAAAAAAAGGATACCGTATTGGCCCGAATATAAGACGACCCTGATTATAAGACGACCCCCCCCTTTTTTCAGATGTACCTTTTGGAAAAAGGCTTTTTAAAAACCAAATCTTGTTTTTTCTCAGTAAAACACATTTTGTCTTCAATTATTTTCATATTGCATATTTTTCCTATTTTAATTTTTGTTTTGAAAGTATGGTAAAAACTGGTAAAATGTACCAACAATCACATTTAAAAAATATACACTTTTTGATATACCATAAAAAAAACAGGTAGCCCATCTGAATTAGGACATTTAGGCTATCCATCTAATAGTAGCCTACCAAAATCTTATGAACAGTAGAAGTTAAATCTTACTGTAATCTTCAAATCTGGGTACTGTCTTACATTTTAAAATCACAAAGGGAGTTTGGTCCCATCAGGCTAACGTGACAGTCACGACTCATGCAGATGTAAGCTTTTCTTTTTCTTTTGTTTTTACTCGCGATCTTTACAACACGCATTACATTACGTATTTCATGGCACACTCGTTTTATGCGTATTTGGCGCCACCTATTGTTGTGGGTGTATTATTGACATGTCAAAGTCTAGACCCTGAATATAAGAGGACCGCGTTTTTTCAGATGTATTTCCAAGAAAAAAATATCGTCTTATATTCGGGACAATACGGTAATAGTGTTTATTTAGTGCCACAAATACAGATCTCATATAGCTTAATATGTCATTAACATCATTAGCTAGCCTTCACCACTCAGACCTTGTAAGGTAGAAATAGTGCAGTTAAAGTAGTGGTTAGTGCACCTGCTTCGGACATGTTGAGCTATGGTGCTCGTGTGTGCCACTCAGGTTCAAGTCTGGCCTATAACATGTCCATTCCCTCTCTCTTCTCAACTTCCTTTCACTTTTCACTATATAAAATAAAAGCCCCTTCCAAAAGGTTGTTCCTTACTAACATACTACTTTTATTAAAAATAATTTAAAAAATTTTTAAAAGGTTGCATTACAACTCTCTTGTAAACTTTGTTACTTCTCAAATGCCTTTTTATATATTTTATTTTAAATAATCCCAGGCACAGACTTCCAATCTGTGTTAATATGAAAATACATAAATCCATCATGAAAATATTATAATATTATATTTAATATCATATATTTTTTAGAATGATGATAATCTAAAAATAAGTGAAAAACATAAACCATTGTGCATTTATCAATCATTTTCACACAGTAAATAATGAAAATGTACATTTTTATTAATTTGTAACATATGTAGATTAGTTACAGTAATTTCCACCACAATAAATAATTTTGCCACTAATAAAGTTTAATTTAAAAAAAAATTGCATGTTTATCAACCAGTTATTTAATGCTATTTCCATGCTATTATAGTATTTATTCATATTTTGAATTTTCATAAAAATATAATATAATGTTTTTATTGGTTTCTATTGGTTTAAATTTAATGTTTATATTGGTTCTTAATATTTTAATTTATTTAGATTTAATGCATTTTATATCAGTTTTAGTTTTAGTCATTTTAGTTGGCCGTTTTATTCCACACGTTTAAAATATAATTTCCATCACTGTCATTTCTTCTACAGAATGCTATCAAATACAATACATTATTTGACTTTACCATCTAGTCACAGCTCCATCTCACACCCTCACGTAATACTAGATCTAGATTGCTTTCATCACTTAAGACTGCACATTCCCAGATTTCCCACTCGTTTCCTTCTCTCTTTTTCCCTGCAGGAGGAGAGTCTGCAAAGGCTGCGGGAGGATGAAATGAAGCGGAAGGAGATCACCGCTCATTTCCAGAGCACGCTGGTGGACATTCAGAATCAGATCGAGCAGCACAGTAACCGCAACAACAAGCTATGCCAAGAGAACAGTGATCTGGCCAGCAAACTCAAGACCATCATAGAGCAGTATGAGCGGAGAGAACAGGTACCGACAGAAATCAACACATTATATCAAACACACAAGACATATCAGTACACATACCATCTAGATTTGAAATGCATTAAATCCACACATAAGCAGAGCTACAGCAGGCCCACCTTTCACAGTGCTTCTGCTGCATAACAGAACTCTATATTTCCAGCTACACAGCACTGTGCTGTTTATGTGGGGGCAGTGTGAAGACTGTAACCTATTAATACGGGCCCTAAAATAAATATATGCTTGTGGTGTGAAGCAGACCGAAGACCTGTGCAACGAAAGCCAGCAAAATGAATTGAGGATTTCAAACACCCCAATATCTAACACATCTGTCAAAGCGATTCAGTCACAAATCCATTTAAAGCTGCACCCCGAGGCACAGTCGAGATTAGATTTTGGTAGAAGTAAGTGTGCACCATAAGTGATTGTGATACATTTGATAATACATCCGATTTGATTTTTTGGTCCAGATTGGTCCATCTGAAAAGTTTAATGAGCCATTACTGGGGTTCCAAACGTATTTCAAACTCTGCAATTACATTACAGTCAAAAATTCTGAATAATTAAGACTTTTTTTAATGTCATATGAAGTCTCTTATGCTGACCAAGGCTACATTTATTTGATAAAAAATAGTAAAAACAGTCATTTTGTGAAATATTATTACAATTTAAAATAACTTTTGTCTATACGAGTATTTTTGATCAAGTGCAGCCTTAGTGAGCATAAGAGATTTTCAAAAACTTTACAAAATGATTCCAAATTTTTGACTGGTAGTTTACATGAGCAAATTTTACAGTCACTATGCATAAAAACATATGCGTGTTTTAGAGCTGCCAGAGCTGTAATTTCACAACACGAGGTGGAGGAAACTACACACTCACACTTTCTAAACCTGCTATATGCACAGCAGATACTTGTATTTTTTTACTTTGACTCAGTGATTCACACCTGGTTTGACAGTGAATATTGCACCTTGTAGAACTCTCTGTATTCTGTATCTAATCACATGAGGATCGACCGGTGGAATGACAAGCCTGATGTGTGGGGAAGTTAAACTCAATCTGTCATGCTGATGGCTACCACAGAGACTGCTCACACACTGCTGTGTGGTGGGCTAACTCAGACCCCAAGAATTTAACTGACTCGAGAATAAATTGTGCAGTGTGTCTCTACTGCCCTCCGCTGGCTGCGGTAGAGACACACATCATATGAGGTTGGTGCCTCATGCTTAATGTGATTTACACAAGAAGAACATGTTCCTGGAACAACATCCCTATTGACCAATCACCACCCTCTGATTTTAGGTGTAAAAGGATTGATGCGAAAGCTGTTCCAAGAACAACAAAGGATGTTGATCCTGGAACATGTTCTGCGTGTGGTGTATCAGAGACAAGCACACATTTTCAATGTTAAAATGTACTGCGTTAAATGTTGTTCCCAGAAATTACAAAAGCTGGAAAAGGAAACTACTAAAATAAAATAAAATCCAGCATCCCCACGACCCGAACTAGGACAAGTGGTTTGGACAATGGAATGGAATTAAATGAAATAAAATCTGCTATGACCCCATTGCGTCTAAATGAATATTCTGTATTTTTATGCAGAGTTTAGAGAAGATCTTCAAACACAGAGATCTACAGCAGAAACTGTCTGATGCCAAGCTGGAAGAAGCCAACATGCTCCTCAGTCAAGCTGAAGAGAAGCACAAAAGGGAGAAGGAATATGTAAGACACACAGATCTCCTATTCTGGCTCTTCAGATTTGCCTCAAGTAAAATGAAGGGCAAGCAAATTCATTTGCATGTGCTTACAGTGAATTTAATTACAAGCAGGGTCTAAAATCAACAATCATCAAGTGCCAAAATGCAATTAATAACTGGCTTGTAAAGAAAACTGCAACATAATATATTAAGTTGATATGTTGGAATGATAATCTGACCTTTCCTGATAAGTGAAATGATGAATGTGTCATTCAAATGAAGCTGTCAGCTAAAGAAAACATCTGGTGTGAATTGCAAGTCTTCTCAGTGAAATTTTCCATCAAACGTTTATCTTGGATCTTTGTTTTGTCCCTATAATTCCATGTGGCAACACATATGTGAAATATACCTCACATAAAGGTATTGAAACAAAATTACAATATTTTTGTGATACAAAGTCACTTGCTCATCTCAAGTGACAAAATATCCACAAAATAAGTAAAAAAAAATAAAATAAAATAAGTATAAATATTATATAGCCTATATTAATAACTTAAATGTTGTCACAAGTGGCAAAAAGTTAATTTTGGACCCCGTTTATAAAAATGTTTCAGTGAATCTTAAGAATTGGCACATGTTAACATCTCACCGTTTATGTTGTTAGTTGCTTAAAGAGGCTATTGAAAAAACAAAGAAATGCTACGCAATGAGGGAGCAGGAGTTACAGATGAAGAAACAGGTAATGCCGAGTTCTCGGTCTCTCTCACCTGTTTTGTGTGTGTGTCTTGTGTTTAACCAGTTACTCACTCAGGCTGCAGAGTGGAAACTACAGGCTAAAGAGCTGAAAGAGCAGCACACTGTCATGCAGGCCCAGGTGAATATCTATCGCTGTGGCATTAGCCACAATCCAACACTCTCTCCTCTCTAGCTGTGGTGTTTCTCTCGCTGAGCTGTGTGACAAACCACATACACCAATCAATCTTTAAAAGGCAATTTATGGTGATGATTCATAGCCATTAGGAGCAATTGCACTGTCTGGATATATTTCAGTTGAGATGGATAGATAAATTACAGACGGATGTTTATGAAAAGCAATAATGAGAGCTTTACAGTTCTGTGTAGACCATAATAAAAGACTTTTAAGTGCCTCAAGAAATAGTTTACCCAAAAATGAAAATTCTGTCTTCATTTACTCACCCTCATGCCGTTCCAAACCTGTATGACTTTTTTCTTCAGTGGAACACAAAAGGAGAAATTCTGAAGAATATATTGATCGCTTTTTTCCTTTACAACAAAAAGGACACAAAAACATCATAAAACTGGTGCATATTGAGAAACATTATTCTGTCTTAGAGCAGATAAATCATGTAGATACTGGTTCATTCTTTAAGGAAATGAATGTGACAACATCTCACTGTCTCTGAATCAACAAAGATGATGACGCTCTTGAATTTGGGTTAATTATGTTGATGGCTGAATGAAGGCTTCCCCTCTCTCATGGCTCTATTGTGACAACACAGACAGAAATATATCATTTCAGTGAATTATTATAGTTCACAAGCGTCACAAGTGCTGAACAGTAAATACGACCTGGATGAGTTTCACTGCTGCTATTATAAATACAGTTTTTCTCGATTGCTTAAACACATTTCTTGAAACTATGCCTCATATTCTCAAAACAGTAAACACAAATTCATAACGTCTCACCCAATTCCCCAAACGGGGAAAAAAACACACACACTACAACATAGTCTTACACACTGGTGAGATAAATTCAAAACAATACTACAAAAAACAAAAACAAAAACCAGTAATAAGTTATGTTGCTTGTGGTTCTCCCCCTCAAGGAACTTTTCACATAATGAACACGTGTATACATTTGCAAATTTTTTATTCCTTAATGTACTGTACAGTACAATACACCAAACAACAACAAAAAATATTCTGCCCCAGCATCACATCTTTGTTCTGGGTCAGGCCAGAGAATCTCGTCAACATCACAGGCTATACTGGCCCTAGCTAGGCAGCAGGGGGGAAATCCGCTGAAATGTTTAGTCAGGCTTCTTCCATTCCATCGTCTGTGTCCTACAAAAATAGAAGTACTGATTTCTGTAACTGTAACATCCTTTTTACAAAATGGAAGCAGACAGAAACTCTATCTGTATGTAACAGAGTACAACACTCAAAAGTTACAGTAGAGTACACTGAGGTACACCTACCTGTTCTCCTCCCTGAAGGTTCTTATGATCGAGGCGACGGTGAAGCAACTTAAGTTTGGCTGAACTCATTGCCCAGCCTCCCTCATAGTCATACCATGGACAAGGACATGATCAACTAGTGGCACGAATTTCATCTGAGACTCCTTGTCTCCTTGCCCCTCATCCTCATCCTCCTCCTCTTCCTCTTCCTTCACCTCTTCCTCCACTCCTTACTGCTCTTGCTCATCCTCTTCCTCCTCCTCCTCCTCCTCCTCCTCCTCTCTGGTGTCCTCGACCTTTTCAATCACATCTCTCTGGATCCATTGTTCCAAAACTGAATGAACTGACTTGGGCTCTTTTATCTATCTATTGAAGGTTCTGATTGGTGTGTGATAAATTTTGACTCTTAGTGTTTCCACGTGGGTAACTGTGTGCTAATTGAGCTCAAGCTATGCTGACTTGAGTGAACAATATTGAATGCTAGTGCTTTCTAAATGACAACATGGTCTAGGCAATGAGAAATGAAGGGATTTGTGTGTAGAGTTTTGCAGTAACAGTTCACCAAATCTGATTCATGTGTTAAAGCAGGGGAATAGTGTTTATAGTTTAGGGAAATGGGTGTGCTTTTTGATAAATGGCGTTATGGTTTTGAAATTTTAGTTCAAAAGCCTGGTGATAGTGTTTAAGCAATCGAGAAAAACTGTAATAAGTGATGCCTTACACATTACACACTGAGTCATTGCAGAAAGTGTTCTCTTATTTAAAGCTTTGTGTTTTTGACTGGAACATTTGCCTTGACTAATTACAGATGGATTGTGTAAAGTGCAGCTGCAATATCAGCGATTAACTCTTTCATCTTTCCATCAGGTCCATAATGTAAACAGAAGAATGAATAAGTAAATTAATGGATGTATGAATGAATAAAAACAAATAAATATTTAAATATGTATTTATCCATTCATTAATGTATTAATTCATGCTTCATAAATAAATAAATACATACATACATTCATAGGAAAGAACACATTTTGAACTTTTTTGTTCTTTTTCCAGAATAATATCAATATATAAAAATTTAAAAGGAAGGCCAAGCTGATAAGCACAAATGTCATTGTCATCATGCATGTTTCTCTTACTGTACTCCAAGGTATTAATTTACAATGATTTTCTGAATGCTGCTAACACTAATTCTCTTCTTACAGATTGTGTTGTACTCCCAGAAGTTTGATGAGTTCCAGAACACACTAGCAAAAAGCAATGAAATTTACATCACTTTCAAACAGGAGATGGAGAAGGTTTGTTTTGTTATGCACACTTTTACTGTCTAGAGCCAAAAGTTAATAGGAAAAAAGTGTGAAAAACAAAATTGTTTGTTTGTTTGTTTGTTTTTACTTGTATTCCAGTGAAAATATCTAAACGATAAATTTACTTGAGAAGCAACACTGCATAAGATATTAAGACTTTTTCTTCCAGAAAAAGTTTATTAAAAAGTGTATTTTGCACTGTCAGATTTTTCCACTTTATTTTAACTTGTTTATACTTAAACAAGAGACAAATCTGCCGATGCAATAAGATAAAATACACTCGTATTAATGCTACAATCTCTGAAAACAAGTCTTAATCTCTTATACAGTATTGTTTCCAGTAAATGTGTCTTTCTTCAAGGATTTTTGGACATTTTAACTGTAAAAATAGACAAAAACACTTTTGTTAAGAATAGGATTTTTTTTTTGTTGCAGTGAACAATTTAAAATGCCTTTGTCTATTTTAAAGAATATAAGTCTTATGCTGATCACATTTTTATTTGAACAGATGACAAAGAAGATGAAAAAGCTGGAAAAGGAGTCAAACATATGGAAGACACGGTTTGAAAGCTGCAATAAAGCTCTTGTTGAAATGATTGACGAGGTAATGTACACACATGACTTGTCAATATTTGATTATCATTAGCGTTTCACTTACTAACTGATTAACTCCACTCCAACAGAGATCAGAAAAGGCCAAAGAGTTTGAACTCTTCACTTTGAAAATTGACCGTCTAGAGACTCTGTGCCGAGCACTGCAGGATGAAAGAAAAAGTTTATATATCAAAATTAAAGAAATACGGTCCTCAGAAAAGGCAACTCTAGCACCTGCAGTGTATTTGCCCCAAGTAGATGAGCTTCCAGAGCTTGTCCAACTTCCTAAGTCAGTTCCCAACCCCATGTTGACCGCAGAGATGAACAGGCTGCGAGAGGAGCAGATCCGTCTGCAGGAGTTTGCAGCTTCCTTGGTAAATTCCATAACAGATTATGCTGGAGAATCTGATAGTGAGGAAGAGGAGACGGCACAAAAGATTCCAGCAAATCCTGAGGCTACCAAACTTGAATCCTCTGAACTAGCGGATAAACCAGAATCAATACAAGATGAACCCTCTACCACAGAAGAAAACAAACCAGAGGTTGTTAGTGTAAATGAAGAGAAGCCATTAGTACCCACAAATCCTGAACCCACCAAACCTGAGACGGAATCCAAACTTTCTCAAGAGCCTCTACAACCAGAGATCACTGAACAACAGACAGGAAAACAAGAGTCAGTCAAAGAGGAACCACGCCAGGAAGAGGCGACAAAAGCAGAAGAGACAGTCGAACAGGAATCCACTCAGCCAAAGCCTGTCATGAAAGAAGAGTGCAAAGATGAAGCTGTTAAACCTGAGCTACCTGAACCAGAGCCTCCCAAACAAGAGCCCCTCAAACAGGAGCAGCCAAAGCCTGTCATGAAAGAAGAGTGCAAAGATGAAGCTGTTAAACCTGAGCTACCTGAACCAGAGCCTCCCAAACAAGAGCCCCTCAAACAGGAGCAGCCAAAAACTGTCATGAAAGAAGAGTGCAAACTTGAAGCTGTTAAAACTGAGCTACCTGAACCAGAGCCTCCAAAACAACAGCCCCTCAAAGAGGAGCAGCCAAAGCCTGTCATAAAAGAGTGCAAACATGAAGCTGTCAAACCTGAGCGACCTGAACCAGAGCCTCTCAAACAAGAGCCCCTCAAACAGGAGCAGCCAAAGCCTGTCATGAAAGAAGAGTGCAAACTTGAAGCTGTTAAACCTGAGCAGCCTGAACCAGAGCCTCTCAAACAAGAGCCCCTCAAACAGGAGCAGCCAAAGCCTGTCATGAAAGAAGAGTGCAAACTTGAAGCTGTTAAACCTGAGCAGCCTGAACCAGAGCCTCTCAAACAAGAGCCCCTCAAACAGGAGCTGCCAAAGCCTGTCATGAAAGAAGAGTGCAAACTTGAAGCTGCTAAACCTGAGCTACCTGAACCAGAGCCTCCCAAACAAGAGCCCCTCAAACAGGAGCTGCCAAAGCCTGTCATGAAAGAAGAGTGCAAAGATGAAGCTGTTAAAACTGAGCTACCTGAACCAGAGCCGCCCAAACAAGAGCCCCTCAAAGAGGAGCACGTTGAGAAAGCCGCAGCTGCCTCTGAGGAACCCAAAGCACAGGCGACAAAACCTAAAGCCTCAAAATCCCAAGAGGCAAAAGCGAAGGCCGGCAAAGCCCAGCCTAAAAAACAAGGTTCAGCCAAGAAGAAAGGTTCTGCAAAGGGTCAGAATAAAAGCTAAGCCAAAATGTATTACCAACGAAGTTTTTTTAATCATTTCTAGATTAGTTTGTTTGTGTAGTTAGACAAGTCTGGCTGTTGACAAGTTTAAAGACCAATTCACACTGCACTGACAGATGCCAATAAGAGGCAACGGACACGTTCGTAAGGTTTTGTCTGATCAGTGTGTTACCCCTGTCAGCATCTGTTGGTGTTGGTCTGTGCTTGTTTTTGCCAACAGAATGTTGAATCAGCATTTATCGAGTCTTGGAACGTCTGAGAAGTGACGTAGGCCTACTGTACTCGGTCGGCATTGGTCTGTGTCTGTCTGTGCAGTGTGAATTGGCCTTATAAGTTAATACAGATGATGACAGACTGGTCGTAGGACACGTTCCTTCATGAAAGTTTACTATAAGGATACATTTTTAGCTTTATGAGTGTGATACTTTTTTCCTCTTGTAATACTTCTTAGTACCTTCAAATAAACATCTGTTCTTGACAATCTTACAAAATGTTCTCTTTCACAAAGACATTTGGTCATACGACTAATACAATTTAAATGTAAAGCACTGTGTGAAAAAGGCAGCTAAACAATAGGTTTTCCAATGTTCTGGACGGTGCTACTTAAAGGGGTCATAGGATGCTACGTGCACTTTTACAAGTTGTTTGAACTGAAATGTGTGTTGGCAGTGCGTGTACACAACCACCCTATAATGATAAAAATCCACCCAGTGTTTTTTTTTAATCTACTAAAATCTTTACCCCTTTCTTAAATCGAGCCGATCTCAGATGCCTGTCTGTGTGACATCACAAAAACAGGCCCCGCCCACGATAGTTTGATTGACAGTAGCGTTTCAGCACAGCATCTTACCTTAGACCCACCCTGAGTGAGCTGTCATCAGTCCGCCAATGTTTCACCACCAGAGCAGATGTAGACAAGAATGACTCCTAAGCAATTGAGGTGTTCTGTTGTTGGATGTAATAATGAACATAGCAGTCGTCATTTACTCCCGACATCTGAGCCGCTGAAGATGCAGTGGATTACGTTTGTTTTTGAAGGGAATGCGCCCCCGATCTACCTAAATGCGTCTATGTTCGCGTGAATCATTCGTGATCCAGCTTCACCTACAGAAGTGAGTATTTTTAAAGGTTTTTTAAATTAATCTTTGCAAATCGCCTTTCCTAATAATGTGCTAATTAGCCAGTTTCACGATGAATGCAGCTAAAGTAAACAGTCCCTCAGAGAGCAGCTCGGAAGAGAGGGGCGGGGTCAGCAGAGCTCATTAACATTTAAAAGAAAATGCTACAAAACGGTTTGCTCTGAAAAGAGATGATTTTGACAGGGTAAAAATGGTGTTTTATACACTACCATTGAGAAATTTTAACCAAAATATGTTACAGACTTTTCATTAAGACCCTAAAGAATCATATCAACTTGTGGAAAATGGGCATCCGATGACCCCTTTAAGGTGTTTGTTAAAGGGTTAGTTCACCCAAAAATGAAAATGAGACTGTGTTTTCCTCCCCCTCGAGGCATCCTAGGTGTATATGACTTTCTTCTTTCAGACGAATCCAGTCGGAGTTATATTAAAAATTGTCCTGGCTATTCCAAGCTCTATCATTGCAGTCAGCGGGTGTTGCAGTTGAACAGTCCACAAGTCATCAAATAAAGCACGCGCATTAATAATAAACGTGCCTCACACCGCTCCGGGGCCTCCTGTAGTGAATCCATGCGTTTTTGTAAGAAAAATATCCATATTTCAAAGGTAATAAACACTTTTCTCTCACTTCCGTTTTCTGTCATACGTGGAAGCCGTTCCGGCAGATGACGAAGCACGTATGAGCAGCGCGCGCGCCTCTGAGATATGCTAGTCATGCAAATTTGTTTGTAGGAGCAGAGGAAGTAAAGTTTCCTTACTTTAGCAATGGAAAACCAGTCTCCTCTTGGTTTATATCGAAATCCTCTGACATTTTTCTTTGCAAATCCTCGGTTTGTACTTATAATTCATGACTGGCATTTTGTTTTGTTCTCTCTCCGCATTCGTCACTAATCACGCAACGCCGACGTCTTACGTCATCCGCAGGAACAGCTTCCGCGTATGACAGATAACGGAAGTGAGAGTAAAGTGTTTATTACATTTGAAATATGGATATTTTTCTTGCAAAAATGCATGGATTCACTACAGGAGGCATTTATTCACCCCCCGGAGCCGTGTGAGGCACGTTTTATTATGGATGTGCGTGCTTTATTTGACGACTTTTATTAGGCCTATATACACCATGCTATAGGCCTAATAAAAAATGAATAACTTACACAAAGTTTAAACATAAAAAAGAACGAAAATCAGCAAACACTGTGGAACCAAATAATTAGCACTGCCGCTGCGCTTGTCTTCTAGCTGTCTTCCGCTTTGTATTTCCACAGCGTGAAGGTAAGGTCACACAAATTTGTGACCCTGGACCACAAAACCAGTCATAAGGGTCAATTTTTTAAAATTGAGATTTACCCATTATCTGAAAGCTTTATAAATAAGCTTTCCATTGATGTATGGTTTGTTAGGATATTTGGCAGAGATACTATTTGAAAATCTGGAGGGTGCAAAAAAATCAAAATATTGAGAAAATCACCTTTAAAGTTGTCCAAATGAAGTCCTTAGCAATGCATATTACTAATGATAATACATTTTTATATATTTACGGTAGGAAATTTACAAAATATCTTCATGGAACATGATCTTTACTTAATATCCTAATGATTTTTGGCACAAAAGAAAAATCGATAATTTTGACCCATACAGTGTATTTTTGGCTACTGCTACAAATGTACCCGTGCTACTTATGACTGTTTTTGTGGTCCAGGGTCACATTTATCCTATGAATGAACCTCTCATTTTAAAATCTTCCCAGTCTATTGATATTTGTTATGATATCTGCCTCGAACGTTAGCTACAATGCACATCACATAACTTTCATTAACTCGACAATAAGCAAATCCACTTCACCAGCTAATTACTCTTCAACACCGATGCTATATACCGCAAAAACAGAAGTTCAAAGACAAAATTCTAAAGATGGCTGCGCACTTGCTTCTCTGACGCAAAAGATCTATTAAATTAATATCACTTTTGCAAATGATATTCGGGAAAACGGCACTTTTGCTTGTGTGATATTACTGATCATATATAATTATTATAAAAAAATATATACAGGGATATTTTTTTCATAACTTAAATTATAAGGGCATTATAACTGCATTATAAGCTTCATCACGCAGTGATTGCTTTTGGACTCTCAAGGTGGGTTTTTTGTTTGTTTTGTTTTTCAAAATGAGTGATACACCATAATCTCAGCTCACACATCGTTAAAACAACAATTGTTATCGTAGATGATAAATATTGCACACTCCTAAAAACACACCTCTTCTCAATAAACCACACAATTTGAAGAATTATTCATGCTGATAGCACAAATGCAGCAGGACAGGTTATGTGCTTAGGCTTAGAACAATTTGTGATTAACCCCAAATTACATTTTGGGCATCTTCTAATAAAAGGACTTTCAAAATAAGTTAGACTGATGATAAATTATGTTAATTGCTGGTCACTGGCATACAGTAACTCCTATTGCACACCATGATTTTTACTCAAGCAGCAGTTGCCATGGCAACAGCCTAAAAAGGCAAGCAGCTTTCATGCTTATGTATTTCATGCTTGCAGGTATAGACAGACATAATTCAGTGTCTGTCTATACCTGCAAGTGAATATATATTGACCTGTATTTATATACAAATGCTTTTACATAATTTTCCACTTTGGATTCCAGAACCTGTACCTTGTACACATACTAAGGCATTGCAGGTCGAATAGAAATATAATTTGGATATATTTCAGTTGTACAGCATCCCTCCACTTACACAAAGAAGCCGCCTTTGTCCTATTAAACACATACAAATACACAAGCAGACCCAAATACATTTGTTCTGTAGGAACAAACTACACTTTGTTTAAAACTGAAGATTCAGAGCAAGTCTGAGTTATACCTGCAGGCAGTCCTGGCTTCTAAAAGAATGTGAATTGATATCAAGAGCAGCAGTTATGGTAATGAGTGGGAATGAGAAAGCCAGCGGGTCTGTACTTAACTTGACCTTTAACCTGAAGCATAAAATATAAAGGCATTAAAAAATGCACACATTAAAAATAGTGTTCACTTAGCTTTGGGTAGACAACTGAGTACACTTTAGATCATCTGATCTTGAGTTACTGTATGTAGTAGTAATGTGTAGCTACTGTGTTTGGCTTTTGTAGAGATATAATCTTAGACATATATTTATAAGGCTTTAAAATTTTAATTTTTAGCAGAAAAAATCATGGCCAACAAAAGTCCAGCAGGTCTAATGGTCTGGTAAATGTTAACTGACATTTTATAGATGCTTGTTGTATGAATTTTTTAGGGATGCTTTATTATTAGACAATAACAACCATGCGGTAGTTACTGTTTCCACAAAAGTTTGTTGTTCCATAAGAGTCCACATATTGTTCTAGTACATTTCAATTTTACCTAAAAATTCATTTATTTCTCTCACTCAATAAACATCTTTGTCTTCCAAGATTCACAATCCAAAGGTTGTCCACATGAGAGTGCCTCCTCATTTTATCAAAGAAGCTGCTTCATCTGCAATAATGATGTTCATTGAGCATAGCTATTTGATATGGAAAACAGGAATTATGCAGACAGGCCCTGGGTGGATGAGATTGAGATCAAAAAGATAACTGACCAAGCCATGGAATAATTAATAATTACTCTGTGAAAAAGAAGGATCCTTTTATGTATTTTATTGTTTTCTTTTTTTTTGTACAAAAGAGCAAATTTGGCATACAGAGATACATTCACTTGTCACAGTATTGTTGCTTTGTTTTTTAAATGCAAGCTCAAACATTTCAAGGATGGCTTTAGTATATACACAAAAGCACACCCTTTTTCTCTTAATAAAAGACACGCTCTTTGACGATCAGCATCGTATGCTTTGATTCTTTCTAATTTGTTCCTAAAGAGAACTAATTCCACACAAAGTGTCGACAAGAGCCCAAAATAAGTAATTCTATCAATAGAAAAAACAGGGAAAAATACTAGCATGCAAATGCAACTTTTGTCAATAAGCTTCGAGAACTTTGAACGAGGAGAATGGCTTTACAAAGTGATAGTCCAGATTGCCACAGTGAGGACACTGCTGTACATTGCTGTACTCAGAGAAATACTGCATGCCCACACGTACATCTATGACAGGTTTCCCACAATGCTTGCAGTTCAGCCGGGCCTAGGCAGACAGAGAGTGGTGGTGCATTTAAAACAGAACTTTGGTTTTATATATATACATACATACACACTATATATACACAGTGGAGATCAAAATTAGACTTACCGTTTCCTAAATTTCAAGGTCACTGCTTGGTTCCATTTAAAGTTATCTTAACAGGAGTAGAAGGGCAGTTTTTTAAGCATATT